CATTAGCTACTATTTGAACAATCTCCCTACCTAGTTCCTGGACCACAAGTTCAAATATAGGGTCGTGGTCATACAGAAACAATGATCAGCGGTCATTTTATGCCTTCCATAGGAAATGTGAAATGAAGTTTATCATATTATATATATATATATATATAAATATATGAATATATATATATATTCAAGAATCTGAAGATAGGATGTATTTCCTTCAGAGTACTTCCTCCATAACGTCGATTTACTACTCTCAACTAATAAGCTCAACAAAGCTTCGGATTATATAATATAATGATTGACTTTTAACTTTGCGCACTTCACGTGCTCCGTCGGACATAATACCATCAATGAACGCGCTAGAACCAGCAACAAGACGCTTCGTTTGAAGCTGTCCTAGGGAAAATTAGTACATATTTAATCCACATCATCCTATTTTTGGTCTTTTTTGTTTTTTTTTCAAATATCCCTCTATATATAAAGCAGTATTGGGTGTTTGTTTGTATGTAGGTTTGTGCGTCCTTCTGAAAATTATCACGACGAAGAATGTGAATGTCACGTCAACGCGGTGAGGTAGCAGTTATGAAATGAAAGCAAGTCAATCGGTACTGTTTATATTGGTCCTCTACATACAACTCGTAGGTAGAGAGCATGTGGTGCACGCATTAGCGTACCTATAACAACTGACATGTATACACAGAAGCGCTCAAAAGTGTCCGGCCAAATGCTTCTTCGGTCGTACTTTTCAGTCGTAACTTCTTTCCTACTGGATCTGATTATGCGAAATTTCGATATGCGTAGCATGGGTGTATTGTGCATATTCACCTTTATCAACCTGGAATCTGATAATATTACAAACATCCTAAAGAGCTTGAAATCAAAACCAACTGGGAATACGGACATTGGTGCTTCTAGGGATTCTTTCCTTCTTGTCGAGCGCTAATGTCGAACATAATAGAGGAGAAAAACGCACATGAGGTGCGAGTACGTATATATGTACCTATATGTACGTATATCCAAACGGGCAGACGTCCTATGTTCGAAACTGGGACAAAGAATGCCAAGTATGTGGCATTCGTATTAGATAGCATATTATCAACACCTTAGGGGATGCCCAACTATAGTTTATACGTTGAAATGTGGGTGGGCCGTGAAAACGGAGCTCGCCATTAGGGCCATACTGAGATAGTTGTTCCAATCCTAATAGAATAACTTGCAAAAGGTGCTCTGGATGCACACGGTATCTCTTGCTCATAGACCTTACAAGAAATGTCTTTCAGGGCGTGGGACGCTTTGTGAAAATGGTTCTTTGCATGGTGTAGGGGCATAAGCACTGAGTACAGAACTATACTCCATTTCCGCTAAGTGACCTGAATGCCAAAAAAGAGTGAAAATGATCTTGCCAGAAATTGCCGTTTTAGGCCACTAAGCGTCGTTTGTTCCGATCATGGTAACGACTTTCCGCACAGTAGAAGGCGCAAGTGGACTGCGCATTGTAAATAACGAGAAAGGTAGCCAAAAAAGGGAGGCACATGTTGAAAAGTGGGGGGGGGGAGGAGTTTCATATGTGCTCTCCACGATTGAGCTGCTGGCAACGCGTGTGTTGGGAACGGGTATCGCCCAAACCCATCATCTAGTCATTGATCTAGTAAGTCGGCGCGATTTCCTTAAGGGGTGACAGCTTTTTATATCAAGCCTAATGCTCATGAATGCTTCAGCAAGTAGACGAATCGAAAGAAAATCGGAATCGTTTTCACACAGAAGTTCGCGGTTGACGCCCGAAAAAAGGTCAGAATCGAGAGCTGCGATGAATATAGGAATCCTGTTGTCTTTGCATTGACGAACGAGGTCGAGGACAGCTTCCATCGAACAAATATTATACGGTTTTGACCCCTACTTCTCCACTGATAGTGCACCACACATCAAATTCTAACGACTTGCAGAGGTTATCGCTGGTCCTGGTCACGACCATGATCAGTCAGGCACTTGCTTTGGCCGTGGTGGAATATGGAGCTAATCTGGAGGTGGCAGCATAAAATGCAAAAACGGCAAAGTCCAAAGGATCCGAATCATCGACCCAGCCTAGTCGTCCCAACTCGAAGCCCACATCGCTATCCACCACACCATCTGTCGTTGCTAGCAGCTCACCCGTGGAGGGCACATATGGAACTCCCCCCTTTTTTCAGCATGCGGCTCCCTTTTTTGGAAACGACGCTTAGTGGGTTATAACGGCAATTTCTCACAAAATCATTTTCACTCCTTTTTTGGCATTCAGAAGGCCATTTAGCGGAAATGGAGCATAGTTTTGTACTCAATGCTCATGCCCCTACCCCATGCAAAAACCATTCTCATAAAGCGTCCCATGCAGCTAAAGACTCTCCTTGTTAGAGGCGGAACGTGTGACTGTACCGCTATCCATAATGAAGAAAGTTCCAACGTATCGAAGTAATGCGTTTTCGAGTGACGTCTTCTTCATTTTCTTAAGTACATTCTTCGAGTAGTTGGCATCTAATATCGCAGAATTCTCTGTCTTTCTCCCGAGTAGAGCAAAGTCAATCCATTGCCGAAGGAGTTGGATACAGTTGGACAGTCGTGTGAGTAAAGATGAAGGGGTTTAACAGGGTAGGAGAGGTGATAAGCGGTGCACACTTAAGGAAACCATTAAACATTCGTGCTTCAAGGAGAACGGAATAATTTACACCAGCAATTATCGTTTTTTGAAGAAAAAAAACTCAAAAAACTTACTGGGATCTCCATATTAGATTATAGGTTCGCGAAGTCTATAACTGATAGTCTACAACGAGGTGAGTGAGAGACCATGTTGGCGGTAGCCGGCTGGTTTTATAGTGACCCTGTTAAACGTCCGTAGCTTAATTGACAGGTGGCCTCGCCCAGGTGGCTCTCGAGTAGCCAGGATTGGACACTCCAGGAAAAATAACCACCAAGCGAAAACAACTAACAGTGGCAATTCGAAACGAGCAGCGTTCTTCACAATTCTTCAACTTCCCTTGCAACAGAATTAGTAATATGAATGCCTGAATTTGAAGGGATGTGTGCGGACAGTGCTAACATTTAATATAATCACGTGTGAACAAAAATCAAAGCTAATTCTAGATATGGAATCGAGATGTATAATTTGAACTAACCCTCACTACAAGTAAACAATAAAGTAGAAAGCTGCTGCAAATCCGGATTCAATTCCTAGTGAGGAAAACAAGGTCATTTCCAAGGATATATGAGCCTGTGCAATTTTCACAGAATTGACAGAATAGAATCCACAATGAAAACGGAACTACGGCTCACCAGGAGAGGGTTGCAACTTCTCATGGAACTTTGAATAGAGACCTAGATACAATGATGGGGTTTGGAAAGCCATTAGCAAATTTAAAAGTAAAACTGCTAAATGAGCCTATCATAGAACTTGTGAGCGCTCGAAGTTTGCATGCGCAAAGCATGGATAGATAGTGCAAGCTGAGATGCGCAGTTGCCCACAATGCCCGAAGGGGTCACCGTGGCACTGTGGCTGTGCTATCAATCTCCAGGTGAGCAATGGGGGTTTGTTTCCCTTTGAGGTTTTTGTTTCTGAAAAACGTGCTATCCTCCTAATAAAAGCTCCCAAATCGTTTCTCGTCACTGATTCAAGTCAGCGCTTTGTTTCGGCTATCATTTGCGATCACTTATCTATAACATATCACCGCACTTATTCGAAAATTTTCTCCATGTTACTTCTGTAACGCCCTTTTGTTTTCAACATTGAAACACACACCCCCAATAGAAATCGTGTTGGAACATAGACACGCGAGAAATCTCAACATCGATTAAACAATCTAAAAAATTTGTAGAGAAAACGTGTATTTTTTGGTTTTGAGTCGATTGAGTGTTTTGTACACGGTCATAGAGGGGCGGCATATATAAGGTTTGCATTTCGTGAACAATATTCTGCTTCATTCTTTTCGTAGAATGATTCATCAATATTGAGACTATCATGCATACATGTTTCGTGTGATGTGGATTTCCTCCTCGCCCTCATCCAGATTCTTCCAAAGCGTGTTCTTTTATCAGAAGAAGCTTTGTTAACATTTCCTGACGTGTATTCAAGATGTTATAACATTTCCAGTATCTGCTCTTCCTCTTGACTATCATTGACGCTCGTTGTTCTTATATAAGGCAGAATGGTTCTTCACATTAATCCTATGAGTCTGCTTCATCTTCGAGGTAGACCATGAGATTATACAGGAGAAATTACCTAGGAACAAATATGCATAAAAAACTCCATAATGATGGAACAGTCCAAAAGTGAAGCAAAAAGTAAAGTTTATTGCTCACAAAATGCGAACCCTATGTATGCTGTCTTTCTATTATGCAATAGTATACAAGACAATCTAATTGAGACCAAAAAATACAGTTTTTCGCTTTTCGGGTAGTTTCATCGATGTTGAGTTTTCTTGCGTGTCTATGTTCCAAGACGACTTCACGTGGAGGGTGTGTGTGCTTCAGTGTTGAAGATGAAAGAGCGTTACGTGAGCAACATAAATAAAATCTTCTGAGTAGGTGCGGTAAAAGGTGATAGATAAAAGATTGCAAATGATAGCCGAAACAAAGCGGTCACTTGAATTAGTAACGAGAAACGATTTAAGAGCTTCTATTAGAAGGATAGCACGTTTTGCAAAAACAAAAACACCAAAGGGAAGCAAACCCCTATTGCTCACCTGGAGACGGATAGCACTACAACAGTGCCACGGTGACCAGTTCGGGCATTGTGAGCAACTGTGTATATCAACTGGCACTATCTATCCATGCTTTGCGCATGCAAACTTTGAGCGCTCACAACTGTTATGATAAAACCATTTAGCATTTTCAATTTCTCAAATTGTCAATGGCTTTCCAAACCCTATCGAGATACCTAGGCCTCTATTTAAAAGTCCATTGGAAGTTGGACCCTTCTCTGGTCAGGAGCTACTATTAACCTGTGGTTTTTCGAACTTCAGCTGGGGGACTGCGATGGCATGACTGAGATAGAGTGCGAGAATTACTATCGTCTTAATGCAGCCATGGTCGAGGTAAATGGATTGGTTGATATTTCTAAACAAGGAATCGTAGTAGTGAGCCACGTCAACTGCAGGTATTCTACGAGCAGCTTAACTACGAGTTACTTCAAGAGTCCGAAGCGTATGGACTGGTGAACCTTATCGCAGATTTCGGGGGACATCTTGGCTTATGGCTAGGTTCGTCCGATCAATCAAATAATTCAAAAATGTAACATCACATTTACACATTTGTGTATTAAGGATTTTCCGTGATAACTGTTATGGAGGTGATTGTACTGATACTGGATGTGATATCGATTTGTTTCCGACGAAAGAATGAAACAGCAAAGGAAAATGACCGACAAAAAAGCACAAAACGATACCCTCCTCCACCAGTCGATGAAAAGGCTAAGTCGCTAGTTCAAATATGATCGCTGAAAGTCATTTTATTGAGTTGTGATTTTTTTGTTTCAAATACTTAAAGTATGTCATCGTGATTGATAAAGTGTAAAATAGTCAATTTTCAAGCACTCAATTCGAAATATTTTGTAGATTCTCCTAGAGCAGCCACAATGTTGATGTTGGGTTCATATTTCCTCAATAAATTTGTCATTGTCACTCCTGAAACGTGAAGCTCACAGAAATCTGTTTCTCTTTTTGGTAATCTCTTAACCACAGATGCGTACTATCCATCGGAATGAAGATGAAGGAAATGATTGTAACATTTCTCAATATATCAAGAATAAACAGTGCTGTGCAATTCAACACATGCCTTCTGAACTAGCTAGCTTTTGGGCTTTTCATCTCTTCCACAACAGCTACTGAAAGTAACAGCATTCCCATTATTCAACTTGAATAATGCTCAAACCATTACCAATGTTCCTGAGCCATACTCAGTCTAGTATCATGCGAACTGATGAATGCAGGCTCACGTATGCCAAGAAGGGGAACTTTGTTCCATCGCGTAATCGCTTCAACATTATGATCAAAATACTGTCATAGATAATCTAGTTTCCTCACTATCGATAAAATCGCTTGGTGAATACTCCCTAAGCGGTATAACACCATTCGCTGATCTGGGGCGAAACAAAGCTGTCGAGAGTGGTCACCAATTGAGCTAAACAGGATCACACTATTTATCCGCATACATCCTCTATTCCATGCATCACCTGTATCACATATTGTCCCATTGATTATCAATTTCCTTGAACGGGTGACAGTTGTATGTATGTATGTATGTATGTATGTATGTATGTATGTATGTATG